AGAAATGGTGAATTCTATTGTATGTGACTTATACCTCAATTAAGAAGATGATTTCAGGGCCTGGGGATTTAGCTCAGTGGTTCCACTGCCTGCCTTGCAGGCACAAGGACCAGAGTAGGATCCCTGCTACCAAAAAAAAAAAAAAAAAAAAAGAAGAAGCTGATTTCAAGAAAAAAGTCTTAAGATATACTACATAAAAAGCTGTTACAAAAGTATAAAAAATCAAATGCAAAAATCATATCTGTATGAATTCCATTTATATAATATCCTAGAAAAGTAAAACTATAGTGATAGGAGCAGATCATTATAGCCTGAAGCTGAGAATCACTAGAAAGGGTGTTTCTGTTTGTTTTTTTTTGGGGGGGGGGGGTTTGTTTGCTTTGGGTTTTTAAAGACAGGATCTGATGTGTAGTTCAGGCTGGCCTAGAACTCACAGCGATCCTCCTCCTCAGCCTCCCAAGTGCTGGGATTACAGGCATGCGCCACCACACCCAGCCTTGGAAAGGGGCTTTGAAGAAATTATTCTCACAGAAGTGATGGAATTACCAAAATCTGCCGATTTGTGTCCTTGCCAAATCTGTAAATTTCTTCTGTGTGTGTCACGTTGGTGATGAAACCAGGGCCTTGCACATGAAATCCAAGTGCTTCACCACTGAGCTATATCCCAGTCCTGCTTAATACCCTAATTTTAAAAAATCAATGTCAATTTAGGCAGACAGCTCTAATGATAGCAGCATCTAGCGTCCATGTAGCCTTTGCAGGTTTAAGGCCTGAATATTCAAAATCACCAAAATTTTACTACCTTGCAACTCTGTGAAACAAGTAGAAAAAGTATTATTATCTCAAATTTGCATTTGAGAAGCTAAAGTTCAGAAAAGTTATGCTACTCAACCAGGTTCACATATGAAAACATCCCTGTGAAGCAAGCGTTGTATCTACCTTTTTATATGAGAGAAGTGAAGACTTAATTAACTGTTGAGGGTTAACAGGATTCAAACCTAGGCAGTCTGACTGAAGAGCCCCGATTCTTGTTTTGATTCATTTTTTGGTGCCCCAATGTAGAAGAAAAACAAAGTGACACAAGCCAGGCATTGCACGTCTGAAGCTGAATGGAACTGTCCCGTGGTTACACTCCTGTAGCCTCTGCTTGGAGTCCAGCAGATGTGGCTTTAAGGCCAAAGCCAGGCCCTTCCCAGATGGGAACACATAAAGTCACCCAACTTTACTGCTCGCCTTTCCTATGCCTGTGAAAAGAGGACCACATCCACCTCACACAGCGACTGCAAAACTCCAGTAATGTCACGTCCCTCCAGATGCAGGTATTGTGTCCCCTGGACTTCCGCCACTTCCTCCTCACTGCACGTGTGCTAAGTCATACGGTCACATTTGTCCGAAGCAAGCGTGCACCTCACCCTACAGTTCTGGGGCGTGAGTCTGCAGAAGCAGAAAACTGGAGACACTGCACACTACAGTCACTGCCCTCGGTCACCCCACAACTGACACGAACTGACCATGCAAACAACATGAGGAGGCATGCAAACTGTGCTCTGGGCTGGATCTAAGATCCCCAAAACTCACATGTTCACAAGATGGAGTGTGAGGACTCTCTAACCATGGTAGCCCAGTGAGGTGGTCCTGGGTTCAATCCCTGGTACAGCCAGGTAGGGTGGTGCACACTTGTAACCCCACACTCCTGGAGGCTGAGGCAAGAGAATCACAAATTCAAGCCCAGACTAAGCAACTTAATGATCTAACAAGACCCTGCCTCAAAATGAAAAAGGGCTGGGGATGGAGCTCAGTGAAAAGTACCTGGATTTAACCCCCAGTACCACAGAACAAACAAAAACCAGTTTGATCAATGGCAGTAGGAGTGACTTCAGGAAATAGTATGGCAATAAAATGACAAGGAGTTGACTGAGTATGGGAATAAAATAACAAGACAACACTGATACTATCACAGATACAGTCCAGAAAGAAACGGGTTTGAGCGGACAGAATGATTTTTTTTTTTTTTCAGTACTGGAGATGAAAGCCAGGGCCTCCGTTAGGTAAGTGCTCTATCACTAAGCTACAGCCCTAGCCTTTTTGTTTTATTTTTAAGTCAGAGCTTGAGTTGCTCAGGGTGGTCCAACGAGCAATCTTCCTGCCTACATCTCCCAAGTAGCTGGGGGTCCTCCATGTACCATGTTTTTTTTTGTTGTTATTGTTGTTTGGTTGGATTTTGTTTTTTTTGTACCAGAGATCGAACTTGGGACCTTGCGCTTTTGAGGCAGGTGGCAGCACCACTGAGCTAAATCCCTGGCCCTTGTTTTGGGTTTTTTTGAGATAGGGTCTTGCTTTGTAGTTAGGGCTGGCTCTGAACTCACTATGTAGCCCAGGCTTGCCTGGAACTCTCAGCAATCCTCCTGCCTTAGCCTCCCGAGTGCTGAGATTATAGGCATGCACCACCACACCAGGCCCAGCTTGCTTTTTGTTTTGCAGCACTGGGGAGGAAATCCAAGCCTTGCTCATGCCAGGCAAATGCTATACCACTGAGCTATACCCCAACCCAAGAGGACGGCTTTCGGCTATGCTACTGTATGTTTCCACTAGCCCCCAGCAAACTCTGGAAGGTAAGGACTGGGACCCGGGAGAGGACCATAGCCAAGGATAGACAGTGTAGATAAGGGAAAACATTGACACCACGGGAGGACTATGATATGACTAAGGGAGACATTAAAGAGAGAGAAGGCTGGTGAGAGAGAGAAGGACCCAGTAGGGATAGGCCGAGCTGACAACAGAGATGTCACGGAAGGGGCCAGCTGAAGGAACCTTATGCCACAGGAGATGTTTGGGCAGTATTGATGTTTGAAGTGGGGGTTATTTGGTTGGTTTTTGTTTTGTTTTTTGTTTCCTGAACGGGGATCAAACTCAGGATGTTGCCCTTGCCAGGCATGTGTGGCGCCACTGAGCTACATCCCTAGCCCTGTTTTTTGTTTTGATTTGTTTTCCTTTTTAAAAAGTCAGACCTGAGGGCTAGGGATTTAGCTCCGTGGCACTGCACTTACCTTGCAAGCGTAAAGTCCTGAGTTCAATCCCTGGTACAAAAAAAAAAAAAAAAAAAAAAAAAAAAAAAAAAACAAAAAAAGGTCAGACCTGGGTGCAGTGGTGCACACCCATACTCCCAGCTACTTGGGAGTCTGAGGCTGGGATATCGCAAGTCTGAGCCAAGCCTGGACAATTTAGTGAGAGCTTGTCTCAAAAAGTAAGATAAAAAGGGATGGAGATGTAGTTCGATGATAGAATACTTGCTTAGCACATGCAAGGCCCTGGGTTCAACCCCCAGCACCATGCACACGTGAATTCATGCACACGCATAACTTTATATTTTAGTTCATTTTAAATGTGTTCTAAGCCCTGTTCCAGCACTCATGCTGCTGCCTTCCCAGTGATGCTGACCAGCTGAGTGAGCCAAAGTGAGAACATTCATTTGTGCTCAACATGCCAGACCTTGGAATCCCAAAAAGGTAAGAACTGACTGAAGATTTAGTCTGGGAAGATCCAGACAACAAGGGGCAAAGCCAAATAGGAAACATCAGAAAAACAGTGAGCTTGTGAGATAACGAAAATGAAGTGGAAGGAGAAAACGATTCCCAAGCCCTTTCCACCTCCGTAGTGCAGGAAGCATCCGGTTTTCTTCAGCTAAACGTTAACAGCATCTACTCCACTTGGTCACTGTGAGGGTTCCTGGAGATGAGGCACATAAAGGCACCTGGCACAGAACAGACCTCAGCCATATTACACAAGAACCAGCCAAGCAGACTGAGAAATCGCAGTTCAAAGCCAGGCGAAGTGGCGTACTCCTGGAATCCCAGTACTGGGAGGCTGAGGCAGGAGAACTACCGTGAATTCGAGGTAGGCCTGGGCTACAAGAGTGAGTTCAAGGGCAGTCTAAACCACATAGACCCTGGTCAAAAAAAAAAAAAAAAAAAAAAAAAAAAAAAAAAAAAAAAAAAAAAAAAAAAAAAAAAAAAAAAAAAAAAAAAAATCCCAGGCCAATCTTCTCCAAGCAAATACCAGCCTCAGCCACTAGAGGGAGATCCCGACCAGCTCCTCTACCAGACAGGCTGCCCCGCCTGACCCACCACCTCTCCGGTGCTGGGAAATCCACTCCCACCGGGGAAGCCTGGCTCCAAACTGAACTCCGTGGTGTTTTCTCTGAGTCACTATATTCTCCCGCCGTTGCAAAGTGATCTGGTCAAAGTCCCATAAGGGTTTTTTCACTGCTTTCTAACATCAAACTTATTGCCAGAACCTGATGCCTCCCTCGTTCTGGCCCAGCTCATCCCTCCACCCCCGAGAGTCCCCCATCCTCCAACAGCTCCACGATGGGTCACAGGCCCCCTCTGTGACCCGGATGTGCTGCCCCTGGCCCCTGACCCCCTTCCTCTACCCCAATCTTCGAAGCCTTACTTATTTTTCAGTGGTTCAAGGATGGCTCTTCCATTTTACTCCAGAAAGTGATTTGCTCACCCCTGAGCTCATGCACCATGTGTTTGTCACACTCATCTATCCAGCATCGAATTGACCCATGTGCGTGCATCTTTAATACACTAGAAACACCATTCATTATCCAGGAGGAAGCTTGTTTGGGGCCACACAGCAATACGTGACAGTCACAAAGATGGGATTTGAACTCGGGCAGCCTGGCTCCAGCGAGGTCTTGCTCTTAACCACAACCCATACAGTAATCTTTGACTACCCACAGTGCTATTTATTACTTTTCCAAGTGAATAACTAAAGTCACTGATCTAATTAGTAGCTCTTAAGCCTTCAGTGACTATGGGCTCCTGGGAATCAGCAACTCAGTCTCATTAATCTGAGTTGGAGTACCCGGGCATGAATCTACTTATGAGCAATTTCAGAATCATAATTACTGTTCCATTTTGCCTCGTGATCTGTAATACACACAAGGATCTACTCCCAGCTTCTCTGGAAGAAAAAGCGCCATGAGTACTTACCAGAGCAGAGGGACTGTGTTGTGAAACCTCCTGCCCCATCTTCACCCGGAAGTGAGGGGCTGGGCCGGGTGGTCTCTGAGAGGCCCTTCCTCAGTGTGAATAGTCAGTGATTCTGAGACAGCACAGAATTAGAAATAGCCTCCATCTCTGTCAGAAGACACCATCTTGAGTCTCAGCTCTGTCACTATTACAGGGACCTTCTACCCAAGTTACTTAACCTAACTCTGATTCTCTATCTGCTAAACTTCATTCATTCATTCAAAAAAAATTTTTTTTGAGCTGGGTAGGTATGGTGGTGCACGCCTGTAATCCCAGGGCCCTGGGAGGATGAAGAAAGAAGATCACAAGTTTGAACCCAGCCTGGGAAAATTAGCCACTTAACAAGACCTTGTCTCAAAAAAAATTTTTTTAAAGCATGGGGATGTAGCTTATCGTGAAGGCCCTGGGCTCGGATCTCCAGTACTGAAGCAAATTATTTCCTAAATGCCTGAGTGCCAGGCACTGGGTTTATTGTAATAAAGAAGACAGGGCCCTGCTCATTCAGCCACAAAAATCAGATGAGACCTATATTGTGAGGCTGTCCAAAAATAATGAGTCAAAGGTCAAGATTTTTTTTTTTTTTTTTTTTTGTACCAGGGATCTAATTCAGGAACTTGAGCTTGCGAGGCAGGCGGCGGCACCCGTTACATGTATTTTAATTAGATCCAGTCAGATTTCCTTACAGCTTTCACGCCTTGCCCTGCTTCCCGGGTAAGGCGGGTTCCGTCTGTGCAGTGAGGCCGAGGACCTGCCCCGAGATGAGGGCAGGGGAGGGAGGCTCGGCCGCACACACTCGGCCAGGATCCGGGCCCTCGGGTCCCCCAGCTCGCAACTGTGCGGTGTGAGCTGCCAGCGAGCTCGAGGGCTTGCTCCCTCGTCAGTCAGCGCTGAGGCAGGTCTCCCGGCAGCCGCGGGCGGGCCCAGCGATGGCTTCC